CCGCCGATTCCTCCCCCGCCCGCCGCTCCTTTCGCACCGCGATTTCTTTGTTCTCTCTATATCTTTTTCCTCCTATTTTTTTTTCCCCTCCTATTTTTCCCGTACCCGCTTCCTCCCTCCGCCAAGTGCCCCATCCCGGTCACATTTCTCCGCTGCTTCTTCCCGACTTTATTGCGGGCGCCGGAGCCGGCTCGGCGGCACCACCTGCCGGGCGGAACCGGGCCGGGCCCGCGGAGGGGCGGCGAGCCCTTGACAATTAATTAATTAATTAATTAAATCCGTTAACCTCCCTGCTCTTTTGGCTTGGCCTCGACGCACCTGGAAAGCGGCTTTTCTTTGTGGTTCTGGGTTTTCGGGAGCCCTTTATGCAAAGGGAAAGTTAACAAGAGCCGATAATGGTTGTTTTTTTAGGGAAAAAAAAAAGGGGCTGCCCTGGGAAGAGGGAGGTGGATTGGAGGCTGAAAGGGCTCTGGGAAGCAGAGCGGAGAGGTGGGAATCAGCCTCTCCCACCGGTCCTCTCCRGTGGGAATTGTCCACGGAATCTGAATTCACTGGGAATGCGGAGGAGCTTTGGGCTCTGCGGTGCTGCCCGGGTACCAAATTGGGGGGAAACAGCCCCGAGAAGGAACAAAACCTGCTGCACCCTGAAAGAACCCCAGTCTGCTCCTCAGGGGACATAGGGWGGTTGCATCGCGGCTCTGGGAAGGTTCCTGGTAGGAATGTGCATCCGGAACGCCCGGCACGGGCGCTCAGGGCCGCAGCAGAGGCCGAGCAGGGCGGTGGGAACGGGGCGCGTTTTAAGCCGGAGAGAAGTGGASGTTCCAGCGTCTGCTCCGTTTCAGCGCCGCTTACAACAGGTTCTCGGCGCAGGTTGTACAAGTGGGGGCTGCTCCTGTAGGCGAAACGCAAACGGGGTCGACGCGGGTGTTTCCACACGGCAAAACAAGGACGGGGCCGCACGTGAACACTGCGTATTTCAGTGTTTGTGGCAAAAAATCAAAACCGGTCATTACTGATTGTACTGAGGGAATCGCTTCCACTGACTGGAATTATTCCGGGCTTTAAATCAAATTGGGAATGTCAGCGGTGTGGACAAGCGTGTGAGCACCAGGACAGTTGTGGAGCTGCCCGTGCAAATGTGCCAGGGAAATTTCTGCGTTTCCCTGCGGACAGCTCTGCCCACACGCACGGATCCTGATCCGACACYGGGGCTTCCCACCGTATTCCTGCTGCTGTCACTTTGGAATATTGCAGCGTTCCCGTGTGCAGCCTGCCAGTGGTAACGAGTTCCGTTGCTATCCGAGAATCCCGGTCCCCTTTATACTCTTAATAGGACACTCGCTTTAATAGGAAGTTTTCCCAAGGCAGGCTTTGTTAATCCYAGCCCGTGCTGCACATTAATTTCTCCGGGCGTTAACAGCTTCAGGTTATTGCTGTGGCCTGCACCTAAACAGTAAGTTGCATTCTAGTAACTTCATAGGAAAAGGTGGGAGTAGCACCCCTTATCCAGCAATATCCATACGGGAGTTCCAATGATAACAGTAAAAACTCCACTTTGTTCCCATTTCCAGCACCACTCGGCTCTGTCACACTTGCAGGTCGCACCAATACCCTTTTTTTGCCCCATATTCTCCAAACTTCCTCTGTGCAATGTGGCAACCAATGACAAAAGGACTAAAATAAACGGCACTGAGGACACTGCTCKAAGTAGGGCACCGTATCTTTCGTATCAACCTGTTATCTACCACTCTTCTTAAAAGCTAATTATTTTACAAATTTAAATTAGGGTAATTAGAGCAGCAGGAGCTGAACTAAGCCCAAGTGCCTGTAGCCTTGTGGGGGTTTTCTGGAATGGGGTTCTGGATCCTGCTTCCCTTGTCGCCGAGGGGAGATGGTCACTGTCCCCAAAGAACAGAAATCTCGATCCCTTCCTATGTTATTARCTACCTACCCCGTCCAGGCTGCATCACTCATCTCCATCTAAGTCTCTGCATAGAGGGAGARGGGATAAAGGTAAAGGAAGTAGAATCTCTTCCAAATTGGAGCCAAGACGCACCTCAGATCTGGTTTTCGTATCTGTTTTTCGTTTCTTGATTTGTACCACACATGGTGAATGGGGAGGCAGAGCAGCCTTCAGTTGAGGGATCTCACTGGAAGAGAATCCAAGCTATTTTCCAATCAAGAAAATACTTATTAAAGAAAAAAAAAAAAAAAAAAAAAGGTTTCAGGCCAAATTCTTGCTGTTCAATGGCCTTTAGTGCCTGAATTTCCAGTGCACCTCAGAAAAAGGTTTAGATCAACTCTCCATGATGGTCTTTGGACAGAAGATGCCTCAAAGGTTATAAAAATGCAATAGACAAATATAAAATGAGGGAGGGTGCCTCCGGAACTTCTGAAAGCATCAGATCTAAAACCTGCACTCACTCTGGCCAGTGACAAGTCATTTAACCTCGTATGTAAAATGAGGATAAAATCAACCTCCTGGGGCCCTGCGAGACTTAATTAGTTGCTATTTGTGGATTAAGCAGAAAGTCTGAAGGTGAGAGCACTAAATGCTAAATATTATTAGCTTCTGAAGTATTAATTTCTGTAATCGGGCAACTCCACCATTGCAAAAAAAAAAAAGTGGATCAGCATCAGTTTTACAAATATATTTATTTTCATAGCTCTATCATGTCAAAAAAAAAAAGGTACCCAAACAAGGTATTTTGTTTTTAAAAAGTAGTAACTGCAAGCACATTTCTGTAATATCCAAGCAGCTTGTCATCTTGAATTCTGAGCTTCTGACTCCCACCCAAGCTTACATTCCACACTCCTTAACAAGCAACACGTTATCTTCAAGCAAACAGCTCTGCGAGCTGTAGGCTCCCGATGCTCCCTGTAAAACTGGCCTTGCGCTGCGCGCGAGGGCTGCTCTTGCTTTCCAAGGAAAAGCCCACGAGAGGGATCGATTCATTGGCAGAAGCAGCAACGTTTGCCCGCGTGGCTGAGCTTTTCCTTACGCAGCCCGATCCCTCCGCGGCCAAGCCGGCACTTCCCGAGCAATCGGCTTTGGCTGCGCTGGAGACGGTTTCGCCCTTCGCGGGGAGAGGCAAGTGCCCCTTGTAGAAGTTCCAAACCAACAAGAAAGAAAAAAGAAGAGCAAAAGTTGCCCCCAGAAGTTTTAAAATGAGCTTCTCTTTTTGGCTGTCCAGGGACTTCTGTTTTGCTGCTTCCTTCGGTACAGGAGCTGGTAGCGAAGACATAAAATTCCCATCTGCTGTTCCATTAAGCGCGTTTGTTGCGGCACCAACACGTGTGTGGTCTGACTTTTGTTGGGCATAAAGGACATAGCTGGCCACAGTGATCAGGAATTCTCTCCCTTTGGCTTTCTCTATGGAGAGACAATCATAGAATCCGGCCTCATCCATCGTCACATTAAATATTACTATTCCTCCGTCATAGAGGAGGTATTTAGAGTCCTCAGCCTGCAGTCTGCTCCCATTAAACTTCCACACGACTYGTGCCAGATTTGACAGAGGAGCACATTTGAGATGAACATTATTTCCATGGATAAAGGGACGCTTTCTTGCAGTATTTTCTGAAATTATGAAGAGTATTTTTTAACTGAAAACAGCAATGGTTTAGCTCAACTTACAAAAACAAATCCATAGTCACATTCAATACACTAGTCTGTCAATGAGTAATGAAGAGGTAAGGGGTGAAGATTTTAATATCRCTTTGCCTTACTTGTATATGCAGGCACTCTTAAATAAATTCCTCTTTTTCTGACTTTGTATTCTTAAGAGCTGTGTGGTTTTCGGTCACACAAGGATTCCAGTGACCACTAACTGAAAAAGCACTTTGAATTGTGTGTATTTTAAATCAAACGTTCACATACCTACGCTACGACAGCTGGAAGCATCTCCGTATTTTACACTCTGAATTAAATTCCTAGGGGAAAAAAAGAAAGATAAAGAATAAATAAAGATAAAAATTTCATTTAGGAGATATCATTCCTAGATATCATGCAAGTGTGCACGTTAAGTGCACAGCTGAAAACCACGTGTCTTCACTTACTTCAAATCCCTGGTTTCATTTGCCAGRCGAACACACCGGGCAGCAGACTGGGCCCAGGCGCAGTAGGGATCGCGGGCCAGGACGCAGTCCAGGCACTGCTTATACTGGTGGCACGCAGACACGGGCAGCTGCACCACTCGGGATTGAGAGCCCGCATAGAGCATTCCCTGGAAAAAGCAGCACGGAGGTCTTATTTTACAATGGCGTGTGGTTTATAATGGGTTTTAAACTGTTATTTCCTAATAAGGACTGTAAGACTTTCTGGGTTTTACTAAGAAAGATAGTAACCTAAAAATCTTTCAAGAATMGCTGATGATATAAAAATAGGGGATGACAGAAAAAAGAAAAACAGCTTTGCATAGCATGCTAAATGACATAGTTCCTTGCCTATTTTTTCTTTAAATTAACATAAAAGCTTGTTTCAGTTGTATTTGGATGCAGAAAAAAATCTACAAAGAGTTATTATACTTTTGTTGTCACTGAATATGTGACAGAAATAGAATTATGAGGCATTCACAGAGTATTTAAGAGCAAAGAGGAAAATATAGAAGAGGAAGGCCTGGGGCAAACTATTACAGCAGTCACTTTGCATATGTAGGGACCAAGTTCTACCTTTTTAGAAGACAGCTGGAGAGATTGTACAGGCTCTGCAGATGGAAACAGCTGTAGCTCTTCCACAATGAACATTTCCCCATCCCAATTGAAAGCTTTATGCAAATATCCATCAGCTACATGAAAGGAAATGTACTTCTTAAGGATAAATTTGTTTAAATGATGCGTAATATTTTAGCTTTAAAATTAATGTAAAAATTAGACAGAGATTCACAAGTAATTCTTGGGGATAACGAAATGTTGAGGTTCTTCAAAACAATTTTTGATTTCAATAAGAGAGAGGCGAGGTTTTTCTCAGGGAAAAAATAAAAAACCAAACAATCCCTGAATTTGCAAACAGCATTATGTTGAGGCTGCTTTGATATGGAAAGTTTCTCATGGGATCCTTTTAATGACCAACAAACCAAACAAATTTAATCTAACTGGAAAGAAAATACTAAACTAGTAACACAACTTCGGAATGCAAAACTTCATCTAAAGTTGATTAATTTCTTTTATTTATTTTTTTTTCCCAGAAATGTCAGGAAAAATAAAGGGAGGAAACCCGTAAAATTATATAGCTTTTTTTTCCTTAAAAAAAGAGCACTTACCTGTTGCTAGAAACATAACGTCATATGTTTGTTTATCGAGGCCAGTGACTCTGTCTACTACAATCCTGGTATAGTTTGAACCTCTTTTCAGCAGCACTGGCCTATTACCAACTGGATTTACAGAATTATCCATGAGAGGATGATCTCTAACAAACTGCAAAACTTTGTCAGGCAAGTCAGAAGAAGTGTTGTATCCAATGCTCCGGGCAAAATTATCAATGCACTAGAAAGAGAACATAACAAACATGATTACAATTGAGTTTACATTGAATCAAAGTATTTAAATAAAAAACAGAAAAAAAAAGCTGTATTTTGTTCTAAATATGCAGCTCTTTTTACTTAACAAAAGAAAAAGTTATTTTCCTCATACTCTAAGCATAATTCCAGCTTCTTTGTTGAGCAGAACTGCAAGTGAAGTTGCTTTTCTAGAAAGCTCCATATACATCTCTATACAGATATAACAGAATAAGGAAGCAGTATGTCTTGGCTGATTATAAGTACCATATTTGTACTGGCAAAATATGTACTTTAAAGAAAGAAAATCCAGGGATTGTTCTTTAATTACAATGATAAAATTCACATTTACAGCACCAGGACGGGGGACCGGCACCTCTCCCCTATACACCACCCATTTAACATGGGAAGGTTCCACAGTTACTGGCCCTTTGTAGCTTCCTTTGGAGAAGACTTCTTGAATATTTTTCATGTTGTATGCACAAACAGCTGATATGTCCAATCTTCCCCTTCAAAAAATTAAAAAAGTTATGTTAGCTTTTAAATAGAAAGAAAAGCCATAAAACAATCTGCTCTCYATAGTGTGCACTGTGGTATCTTTTTGAGGGCGAGTCAAAAGATACCTAATAATTAAAACACTTCCATCTGGCTTTTGTTTTTCCATGATTCATTAAGAGGCGAAAAAGCAGAGAGATTTCTACAAGATTGGATRTATTTACACTGTATATTTTCTTTAAAATCAAGTAACAGACCTCACATAAATTGAAATGGCTGAGGAGGTCCTTTTGACCACCTCTTTTGAAGAGAGGCTTCCCCTATTCTGAGAATTCTGACGCTTATTATAAAATGTGAGAATGATGTACCCATAGCTACTTCGTCACAGCTAATTTCTAACACGAAGTTTCAATACCTTCCCTTTGGTTTCTTTCTGGTTGTCAGAGCAGCAAGATAAAGCCAGTTAGCAGTAAAATATGAAAGGAAGTAAACTGGAAATCTGTTTTTATTTTTTCAGAACATCACGTTGGAGAAGTAGGCTATGACAGACATYGCTTTTGGAATAGAAAATTAATTCTTCACCTTGAAATGCCAGCTACTTCCTTTAGTGGAAAAAAAAACCCYAGAAGAATCTAGAGCTTTCTTAATTATGCGATTTTACATGTGATTAGTTTTAATTGCTCCACCATCTGAGCAGAGAAAACATTAAATATTTGGCTTAGGAAGAGCTTTTGGTTAGTCTTTAATTGAAGGCTTTGGCCCAGCAACCAAACAATGTTTTGCTTCAGAAGATGGTTAATATTTGCTCGTTTGGATCAAGCTGCAAAGAAAACAAATGTGGTCTGTTAAAATATGCAGAGTAGCTGGTAACCTCCTATTCCGAGCTAAAGGCAAACGGCTGCAATCAAGTCATTAACAATGAAGTGACAACTCTTTACTCAGCTTATTACAAACTCTAGCAGTAAATGTGGCCCTTTCTCTCACCATTGCTGGAAAAATATTCCATAAAAAACGCTCTCTTGCCAGTCTGTTCTCCTAAGTAAAAAGATGTCCTGGATAATATTGAAATGGAAATTTAATTCTGGAATGGAACAGGAAAGTCGGGATTTTAAAAACGATGTCCATCTTCTCTGCAATATGCGTTTTCCACCAAGATCACCCTGAATGAAAGAATAACATCATCAACGAAGAATGGACAAAGAAATAGCTGTAATTTTCACCTGATAGCACTGTGGCAAGGAAAAATACAGTTGGTCTTTCAATACAAATCTAAGGTTGAAATAAAAGGAAAAAAAAAAAAGAAACTAGTTTAAAAATAAAGGTGTGTGATTGCATTTCAATTAGTGAGACGATGTAGGTACCACTTGTAATCATTCAGCTATGAAACACAATTTGCAATATACTAAGCATAATCTTTATGCTACAATATTAACCTTGCAGATACGGGCAATTCTGGACACCAGAAGCTTGTCAAAGAATTCGAATTCAACRGCTGTTTCAGTGAAGAACACGTAAATTTTATCATCATCTCCATTTGGATTAGATTCACTTTCCTGCACTACCTCCATATCAACAAATCTTGGTTCTGAAATACAGGAATATGCAAAATGCTTTACGTTTCTCTATAAAATCCCACAAATGCCAGATATTCTTTTAAAATTAAGTATCCAATTCACCCTTTTTGGGGAGCAAGGGATAGSAAAGGGGCAGGAAAATAATTATGAGTTAGAATCTATGAAAAATTAAGGAAGAAACAGAGCTTCCGCAGATGGGAAAATGTATTTGTTTCAGCAGTTCTTAGTGACAGATTTAYATAAAATTTTGTCCTTAGTTTAAAAGCTCACATTTGGTGGACATTGCAAAATCAACATGTAACATACACTATGATGGTCTATAGATAACTCACACACCAAAAGAAGTTTGAGACTGAAATTTGTGCAACAACTTCTTACCATTTAGCCAAGACGTTTTAAATTCTGTTCTTACAGGGTTCCTCATACTGCGGAGTATTATAGGTTCTGTTCCCAAGAAATTATTTGAAGTAGCCGAATAAAATGCACCATCTTTAAATTTTGGAAGAAATAACAACGCATGAAGTACTTAGTTTTAAAATGCAAAGAAATAGCCTTAAGAAGCAAAGTGGGCTGGACATTTCATGCAAAAATAGAATCAGGATAACAGGAAAAACTAAGCTTAGATCAAGAAAATGTTAAGCTTGCCTAGCAGTACCTACACGTACCTACAAAGGCAGAAGCAAATTTCAGGGTTGGTTCAAATGGACATTTTCCTCTGCTGTCTTCAGCTTTTCCTTGCAAACTTATGTTTGTTTTGTGGACAACCTATGGCAAGCAAGCAAGCATTTTAACAGGGTGATAATCAACGCCTGCCAGGGGCTAAAATGTAATTATAATCTTTAAAGGATAAGATCACAGAAGAGTTAATACAGAAATGTGAATTTTGAGTGAAAAGTAGTAACATTTAGTAAATATTTTCCAAAACTTTTGTGCTTCTATGAAAGAATCACAAAAGTTTCAAACTTTTAAAAAGGAATATTTTTAGAAAGGTGCTTAAAGATCTGCCATAGTATTCAAACATTTCAGTAAAATGTACTGAAATATAATTACCATATGATCACAAGCTGGGTGATAAGCGTTGGTCCCACAAACATATAAGCTGGAGTCATTTATCTTATGGAGGAACAGAATGTAGTTCTGGCATCTTATCTAAAATAGAAAAATAAAAGGAGAGCAGGTTTATATAATTTAGCTGGTTTGCATTTGAAAATTTTCTGGTGTAATTTAAATCTGCAAGATTTAAATGAAACTGCTTTTATCTCAATAAAATAAAATACATTGTAGCTATTTTTTGTCTTAGGTAACAACTTAAGAGGAGGAAACAAAGGTTTTGTTTACCTTGTCCTTTCCTCTATGGATACATTCCAGTTGTCTTTCCTGTGTAGCAAACCAGTATTCCTATAAGCCAAAAATCCACAAAAGTTGGTATGTTGCATTTTTTTTTTTTTCACAAAAACTATGGTCAACAATAAAAACGAAATATCTGACTCTATTGAGGTAAGCTGGCATTTCTATGTATCTTTACAACATATATAGCATAATATATTTTTATGAAGCAGACATGAAATAAGATGTTTAACTTACCCTGGCTATTTCTCTAGAAACATTATTCAAGTCAAGAGCAAATACAGCATCTCTGCCTCCAACAAATAAGGTATCGGTTTCTTCGTTCACAAGGAGAGTGGAAACATTGGATAATTCTTGTTTCATAAAAGTTTTTATATTTCCAGCTATAAACAAGGAGAGTAAGCTAGTTCAAAGCCCACTTACCACTATTATATAACCAAAACCCTTGACTGCAAACAGTGACAAAACAGAGGTAAAGTCTAAGCACGTTCCCCAAATGTTTTCTAAATAATACAAAAATATTTGGCTAGATGCATGGAGAGTCTTTCCTACTTTAATACAGTAGGAATACATACAGTATATAGGATAGGAATGTATATAGTACATACAACCACCGTTCAGGTAGGCATTCCTCATTGGAACTTGGACAAGCACAAGTGCTGCCACTGAGTCCCAACAGTCCAGAGCCTTCTGTCCTCCTCCTAAAAAAATAAAGCCCCAACCCTCTTCTATGCTCCCTGATACTGATTTTAAATTACTCTTTTTCACTTACTTTGGTATTTTACTGTTTTCCTGGGGATGCAGTTCACAACAGATGCTTCTGTCTCTTGCATTAATTGCAAAGTAAGATAAAGGACAACAGCTGCGTTACCCATTTTGACTAGAAGCTTTTTTTCTGGTTTAAATTCCTTGATATTAAATAATTACAGTCAGCAATTTCTTCATGGTTCTTGAGAAAGTCTTGCCAAAGACCTCCAAAGTAGACACTGGTAGTCTTCAAACATTTCCTGAAATGCGTGAAATAAAAGCAACCTCTTACATTTTCCTTTCCAATGACTACTTCCAGATATCCTAGAATTACAAGGAATTTAAGTTCAAGGTAATATTTGGTTACTGCTTTTATAACAGATGAGCGATCATGTCCTTTTGTAAATTTTTGTAGCTATTACCTATATAGTTACTATTCTGAATTAAATCCTACTTGAACAGCAATGCCAGAATTGCTTACACACCTTCCTCATTTTTCTTAAAGCTTGGTCATAATTAAGGTGAATTATCTAATTATTTCTTCCTTCAATTTATCAAAGGAAGTATTTATTTCCCTGAAGGAGGTATTTAACTTTACGCCAAGTGTGGAATTCTGATTCGCAACCTGAAATGTCTCAGCTTTTTTACAGGATATATAAATAATATTTTACAGAGAGGAAAAACTCTTGCAGGAGGCAGCTAAGAAATCATAGCTAAGACTGCTTTCTTCTCTGCAGCAATTCACTAGTATATATGTGTGCACTAGCTATATGTTAAGAAGAATTTATATTTTATTAATTACAATGAGGTAATCYTATGTCTGAAATCTTGGCAGTGTGTCTAAATGAACATGACCTGCAGGCGATGCTAAAAAAGTGAGCAAAATTAAAGCCAGGCCGTTGTAATCTACAATTACCCAAACCACAAAGATTCCAGATCTGCTTTTATAAAGACAGGAATCTGAGTTCTTTATAGGCTTTCATCTCCAAACAAATGCCGACAGCAAAAGAAAGTGCATTAGCCAAAGCCGAGTTAAGATATAGCCGGGTTAAGGCGTTTTTAAATGACCCCCGCTGCGGGTTTTGCCCCTTCCCCTTGGCATTTATGGGCACAGGAGGCTCCTCACGGACACCCACAGCGCCAGGAGCCCCGGTTCCACCCGGCCGTGCCTCAGGGCCCCGCGGCGCCCCACGCGGGCCGGCCGCCGCGCGCGCCCCTAAGATGGCAGCCTCCCCCCCGGCCCCGCATCACCTCAGGGCGGCCGTTGGCGCGCGCGTCACGTGACCGCCGCCCGCCCGCCCGCGGGCACGAGGCGCCGCCCGGCGGCCTCCCGCGTCCCTGAGGCGACGCGCGGGGAACACCGCCCGGCCGCGCCTTTAAAYTGGTTTTATTTAATATAACTACTAATAATTTTAAAATATTTACTCGGTATCCTCTTAAAGCACCTCTCCCGGTGCTATATTGAGGCCTCAGAAAAAAAAATGTGAAAGAATAAAGCCATTTCTGTGCTTAGCGACAGAGCGTCATCTCCCCTGCCGCCTTTACTGATTTGTTTTTTTTGGGATATCCAGTGTGGTAGAACCAATGTATGGAAATTAGCACCACTTTAGAATGAATGTTTCACTTCTCTCTTTAGTGTCCATTTATCTTCTTTGGGATTTATATCCATTTTGGTCAGGGAAATGTGGATAAGAGCAACAATAGGTTAGTGATTAAAATACGGAAATGGCTGGTAAAATAAAACAGGGATTTTTTGTGTGCTTTCCAAACTTAACAAAACTTACTGGCCAMTCTTCAGTTAAAATAATTAAAGAATACATGCAACTAATCAGTAAGGTATCAAATAAAACCATACTTAGAGCTTAGATTTTCATCTTAGTAGTGTGGGACCTCCAAAAAGCCTCCCATTTTAGATATTTTTTCCCCCTTTCCCATGCAAAAACTGTYCAGGTTTTTAAATAGGTCTTTAAAACTGTTTGAGGTCAGAAACTTTTGTTAACTTCATAATTCAAATAYGCTGCAATTAGCTTCAGCCAAAGAGTTCTTTTAAAAATAAGACCCTTTCTTGCTTTGCACTTTACTAGGTCTTCATTACCTGGTTGCAGAGTAATAATTCAATATTACTCTGCACCTATTACTATGCCAATAATACTCCTTCCCATTTACCATCCTTCAGCCCTTCAGAGCAAGCTTTGGTTGGAAGGAATTTAAAGGAAATTAGCAGAACCTGCTAAAGACAGGAATTAGGCACAAAAAGCCAAAGAGAACACACCATGTGCTAGTGCTTTCTTCAACAGCAGTAACTTTATTGCCCACAGATAACGCAAACAGTTTTCCAGCCTTGCTGCAATTCAGCAAGTTACCTACTCAACACGGTTCACAAAAGCTATTTATTTCCCCAAGTACCCTATGTTTTTTTTGAGCACGGTCCCATTTAGGTGTTGGTTATTGCTCAAATGCACAGTCTGGTTGTGAATGGCCACTCGGTCGTGAGATATGCAGAAAGAAAGACGGTACAGGAATTCCAGAAACTTGTTCTGYTTTATAAAGAATACCTACTAGGGGACAGAAAACAAGCCAAACTATCAGTGTTTGAATTTAAGAGTCCAGACTTTCTATGGGCACAAAACCAGAATAGAATATAGAATGAAATATCAATAGAAAAAAATAAAATACTGTACATTTTTTTTTTTTTTGAGAAATAACATCTCAACACAGATTTAGTGTTCACACTAAGGATGCTATAGTGTTTTATATATATAAAAAGCAATAAATAGGAAAAATGTCATTGGTATTACAACAACAACTTTTGAAAGCAAAAGAATGAAAACATCTGTATTAGTCCAGGATGATTACTCCAATGCAAATTGTTATGTCTGTAGGTCTTCTACTGCATTAGTGCACCTCCCACGAAGTRGGGATGGCCTCATTTCTCTCTTCTGAGAGCAAATTTTCTTTTTTATTTTTTTTTTCCCCAAAACCAGGTCCATATGCTTAGTAAGATGTTGGAGGAAAAGCAAAAGAAAAAAAAAAACAGCTTGTTTTTGTCTCAGGAATGCTTGCTACAGCTGTCAGTAGAAAAGGAAAGGAAAGCAGGACCTGGCTTGTAGCTTTAGCAGATAAACACTCATTTTACCTCAATAGACGGCTGTTGTATATGTGTTAAATTTCATTTTGTTGCATTCTTTTTCCTCCCTCACATCCTTTCTGAAAAAGAACGCAAATTTAAATGTAACAGTAAACCACACACATATGTAAAGAAAAGCTTTGCTGTCCTAAACTCAGGGCATTGAGAAAAATCAGAGAGAGAACTAATTCCTCAGATGTGAGAGAAGGGCAAAACTCTTGCATTTTGCCTGGACACTTTTTTTTTTTCCTTTTATTTTTGCATTCATGTTGCACATAACACTGTTGTACATGGGTTTCATGCACTGGAACCCATGAAAAAGTAACTAAGAAGTGATTCAATGGGTATTCTTTACAGAAACCATTTAGCAGCACAGAAACGGAGGGACCTTCCTTCCCTCAAACGCTACAAAATCCTGTTTTACGCTAAAATAATASTGCATAATCTCCCACTTGTTAGTGCCAAAATGATGCATATCTCTCACAAAGGGCCAAATTCACAAGCAAAACATTTAAACCAGGAATTGTTTAGTTCTACATTTATTGCAGATATTAAAAGATTAACAATGCTAATGTTTACTTACACTAAAAAGAAATGTCAGTTATCCAATAACATAAGCATCTAATYGTTACTAGCTTAGCACTACTGCCAATTTGCACCAAACAGAAACTAGCAAATTGCTCTACAAGATTAATGGCAAAGAAAACAACCAAAAGACAGCAGACACAGCACTGAAGTTAGTTAAAATGTTCACTGAAGCTTGCAGTCTTCATGGAAGAGAGCCTGGAACTAAAATAACAGAAAAGAAGCTAGTAAACCTTAGACAAGGCAATGCATCTGCATAACAAACGTTTCACATGTACATGGATTTAAATTTTCCATCAGAGCTGCCTGCAAAAGCAGGTCAAAATAAAAGGAAATTCCTTTTGCAAAAGGAGTGTAAGGTCATCTCTTGGTAAAACAAGATAAAAGTGGCAAACAGTAACCCACTAGAGAGCAATATTGGAATCTCAGCGCTAGCAGCTGCTCCGCTGCTATCTTGTCCAAAATTAAAGTTTGGCACAAGAAAGTAGGCCATGCYGGGTAGCAGGTTAAGATTTTCCCAATGTTCATCTTTACTTTCAAGACAGCATTTTGTTCTAAATTGACTTGCACCCCGTGAAAGGACGATACCATTTTCCAATCCGGATATCCAGAGTTTTCCCAGGTGGGGAAGCAGCTTTTTAGCATGTGCATCCCACTGGCACTGTGCTCAGCAACCTCAGGTTAAACCAGAGCAGCGCAGGATGCTGATCGGGGGCGAGAAAAGGGATTTCCCAAGTAGTGTGAAACAACACCGGGTCTTGTGCCTTTCTGCAAATATTGTAGCATACAATGAAGAGTGCTTCCCAAGCGTGAATGTGAAAGAAGAGGTGAGCAGGAAGCTTGAAGGGAAGTAAAAATAAAAATGTGAACAGCAACACTGTTCACAGCTTCATGAAGGATGCTAAAAGCAAAGCTGAATGCTTTGTTTCTCTGCTTGGTTCCAGAGTGCCAATCTAAAACAGACTACAACYGATAAATTTCATTTTTGGATGGTTTAATTTTTACACTGTCACTGCTAGAGGCAAAGGAAAGAAAAGAAGGGCAGTGGGGAGCACATCCAAATAGGAATTTAAAGGTAAGCACACTGCCAAATGCTGTAACAGATGATCTAAATGCAGTCCATGGTCCCAAATATTCATGGATTTAAGATATCTCCAAGCAAAGCCTAAGAGAAATCACTGGACAATAAAGCATCTTTAAGCAAGCGTGATAACCAGATAAAACTTGAGAACTGGGTCTGTATTAATGGTCTTGATGCTTCAACTTCTTGTAATGCAGAGGTGAAAATACATACATTCACTCAAAAAAAAANAAAATACATACATTCACTCAAAAAACAAAAACCAAACCAAAAAAAAAAAAAAAAAACCCCAGAACTATCAGCATAACATTTTTCTGTACCTGCTATTATGGTTTTATGTAGTGTACAGGTGCTCCAACTCAAACTGAATGATCAGAAAATTATCCCAGGACACGATAGTGTAGCTTTTGGCTTCACAGACCCATATAGCAAACAAAAATCTTGCATTCACAAACTAAAACTGGTCGGTAAAGGCAAGGAAAAGCTGGCTGCTACAGAATGAAAATAAGACAACTCCTTTCAACCAGGTTTTAAACAGAGAGAGAAAAATATCAGTTTGTCCTTCAAACAGCAGGCACAGGCAAGTTGATAACTGAACACGTTCTCTTGCATATTGTCAGTTAGGAACTTGGGATGCTGCCACATCACTGTGAGGTGCTATTAGCCACACACCACAAGCTCTTTGCTTCACAAGAAGCAGGGCGCAGGATGAAAACAGCAGCAAGACAGCACTCACTCCTAGTAGGCAAAACATGCGTCAGCTCAAGATAAACTCTCTTTAAATAGAACTTCAGTGAAGTATTATTGTAACATTCAAGTGAGGATTTTTCGCTAGTTTTAGAAAGGTAACACTAGGAGTATGCTAAAAAGTGGGATATTAAATTGTCCCTTCAGTAATCCAGTCAGATCCCTTATTGATACAAGTCTGAAAAAGATGAATGATCAGACCTTGAATATTTGTCTGCAGTAACACTGCTAAATATTTCATTTCTTCAGAACTGCTCCACCAGGAAGTTAGGTAATGTGTTTTTATTGAAGCAGGGTAGATTAATCCAATCTTCTTTCAGTAAATTCTAGAATAATCCCTTCGACTCACAAGCTTTTTGTCTTTCTTTCTTGGGATTATTCAATAAAAGAACTTCTGCAAAGCAAGTATTTAATAGAAACAGAAATGACTCTAAACTGATGGTCTTACACAACTGATGATCCACTTCCAGATGATTTCTGGACATCTGACTTCCAAGCATCTTCTTCAGATTTTCTGCAGACACATGAATGACACCTGTTCATGGCTTAAACTTCTTTGAGAAGGAAAGAAGTTATTCAAGAATTGTTGGACAAGAGCTGCAGATTTGTGTAAAAGCATAAAAGTACACTTAAAATGTGTACTGCTCGTTTGTTACAATGAAAAAACGTAGCAGCTGAGGTTTTCAAGTAAGAGTTTAGTGTTCTCAAACTCGGATGAACCATTATCCATCCTACACTTAAAGCAGAGAATCCTATACAAAACAAGCATGCAGGTAGTAGAGACTGTTCTTAAAATTGCTGTGCGGAGGAAAGGACTCTGCTTTCCACAGACTCCAGAAGTAGATCAAAAGATCAGCCCATCAACCAAATTGACCAAAATAAAAGCTGAACTGCCTTGCAGTAMGATCAGAATTTGAGAAGGTTCTTGGCTTCAGAAAGGAACAGAACCAAAGCTGGATAGTCACATTTTCAGTGTTGCTTATTCTGTTTGGAGAAAGCCATCTCATCACGTAACAAGCAAACTTGGCCAAAGAGAGAGGTAATCAGGCACTTCCGAGAACGATTCAGTTGTTTCTTCCTCAGAAGATGACATCCAAGTCGTTAGCTTGCACAATTAGATACAAGACTAACTTGAAGCTTGGAAAAGGGTTCGAGTCCAATACTATAGAACAAAGCGTTCTTCACACTGGCATGCTCTGCTGAAGGTCTTTCACACAGCAGCCTTTGCATATCCGTGCACTTTCTAGCAAGCGAGTCTCTTATGTCAAACCTAGAAAGTAAGATTTGGGGGTAATTCAGAAGTTCAAAGTAGGTCTGGGTTTTCATGAAAAGTACGAAGCCAGATATACTCATGGAAACAGTAATATTTTCTTGGTAAAGGAAGATTTTTTTAAAAAAAGGTATTTTCATGTTTGCAAGAATTCATAAACCASGTTGGCCATTGCACATACCTATTTACTTGCTCTTTTCTGCCTGTACATTTGTATCATTCTTTGACGGAAAACATCAAATGCATCTTCTTTATTTTCTTCCCCTGCAACACCCAAGCCCTCCCCTGCAGAGGTAGCACCCCTAGGGAGTAAAATGAATAGTTAGAACACTCTGTTGCTGTTACATTTGATAATGCAGAAGAGATCTAAACAACTGCTTCCAACACAGACACAATTCGAGTGGAATGCAATTCTGATACTTTGGAGGGAAGGACAGCAGAAGCTTGCTCCCTGACACACCATATCCACTGTAAAACAATTCCCACCTCCCATCACACATGCAAATATCCACTAGAAGAAATTGCTCCTCTGATAATAAGGGAGTAGCCAAGATAACAGACACCTAACAGATGAAATTCTTACGTGAACTCTTGTAGCAACCACTTTATTTGCAGTAGGCAGAATCTTCTGTTGAAGAGATGGCAAGAATTGCCACGTTTCTTCGAACTTAAAAATGATCAAAATAGACACTTTAAGTGGTGTTTCTTGCTCACTCCTCGAATCTGGGTAAAATCTTTGCCAAAAGAACGTAATACTGCTTGGTTGGAAACCTCTACAAACTCAGGTCTTGCAGGACCTACACAATGGGAAAAATGCAGATGTTGCCCTCCCCAAAAGGTGAGTTAACAACTCATCTCTCGTCATCCAATATGCCATCCGAAACAGATGAGCTTCAGCAAAATCAATGAAGCTTTTTATCCTGAAAGTAGATGGGAAATGATTCCCACAAGAATGGTGAAATATCAAATATAAAAGCCATCTCTCTTTCTCCAAGTTATGTGCATAGAACATACACTTTACACAGCTAAGATTAATGAAACGGATGCCTTAGAAATGATGCCCCATGTAAGTTTTATCCTCCAGGCAAGTTACTTTAGTATTATGTATTAAAAAATTCATTACATGAAGGAAAAAAAAACAGATTGTCAGTGTCCTGAAATCAGGATTGCTGTGCGATGAGGGTAAAATAGGAGAACCTTAACTAGTACAGATAGAAATTACTCTTATCCATTTTTTGTTCTGACGTGTCTATTTAAACCAAGTAGTTCACTATGCAGATCTAGAATACTCACAGACTCTTAAAAGACAAATTCACTTTTGTCATCAGAAGAAGAGCTAATAATTTTAAAAGGGGAAGAAAGAGTGGAGACAGCAAATTACGAGGTGAAAAAATAAATCTGCCCTGTATCAGAGCAACAACAATAGAAAGCAAAATGTACTCATTTCATCCTCACTGAAATCTCAAAGGATTGTCCAAAGAATGGCTTTGGTGGGAAAACAAGTGCAAGCTGTGAAAGTAGTCAACGCTAAAGTTATCTAAGCAACTCTCACTACATTACACAAAAGTCAATGTTTTTGTAAGAGTTACAGAAAGCAGATCTTTGCTGTTTTTTCAGTCATCTTTACAGGAATGACAGTAATAGGCTTGAGTTGGAGAAAGTGTATCTGCACATATGAAAAATGCAGTTCATGGAGTAGGTCATCAACTTAGAACGTGCTGCACCAACTGCCAGACCAGATACAAGCAAACAGCTTAACAACACCTGGGCAGGGTGGCTTGTGCCAGGAGCTACAGAAACCAAAAGGTTGCTGAGACCAAAGATTAAGTATTTTGGGTTTAAGAATCAAGACTCCAACACCGGTGAACAAAGGACAGCTAGAGGCAGCGTAACTTTCTCACTGTACACTTGCTGCTGAAAAAAGGTATCAACAACTACAAGTTGTTTTTAACCAGACTAAAATGATCAGCATTGTCAGAAAATAGAAAATCCTGGAGAAAGTAGGCAGTTTACCCATAATTGTGTGGACTAGAGAGCTTGTCATAGGGGTTCAAAGAGAAATAAATTGTTTCTGCCTCAGCATTCTGCCAGGGAGTTGAAGGATGTAATATCCGTTCTCTGTGCAGGCAGCAGAGGACACGGGACACAACAACTTTAAAAGAGAAAATGAAGATTCAAAACCAAAGTATGTTTTAAAGAACAAGCAGCACACTTACCTTCTGGCAGGTGCACTTACCTCTTTCAGCATGCATTGGAATGAATCACATTTACAGTGAAAATGATTTTGCTGCTTGAACTCAATAGTAATGTGTTCGATGCTCCTAATGTGTATGATATTCCTAAAGTCTGTTTATATATTATTATGTACCTGTCATCACAACAAGGAGAGCCCTGGGGTAAGACTGTGTGTTAGACAACTCCTACCGGCCAAATATCCTGAAGGAGGGGGATACCCATATACCTTTAAAAAGCATCCGTGCGCTGCAGCATTCACACTGCAGCCTTTAGATGTCAAAACGGACAGCTCCTTCTAGACCAAACTTTGCCCAGTTTAGCCAGGAAACACGTGAAGTCTGCACGCTCAGCTTTAGTGAGGCCAGAGATAAAGACAGGACAACCCCCCGAACTGGCCATATCCAGGCGGGTCAGACAGCCATAGTTACTGTTAGAAGCCCAGCCTTTGTCGCAGCTGTCAAGCTGCTGCAGTTTGTTCCCATTACATACACTTTTACAGGCTCTCGGATTCCTTTCCCTCGTGTACCAAGGCCGTGTCCTTCTTGCCAGCCCATCTTCTGAAGCATCTGGAAACCCACGTTTTTGTTTGTCAGTTTCTTGTGGGAAAATTCTAAATCTTTAGGTTTCTGCAGAGAGGAAAAAAAGACAGAAACAGAGTGGGCTTTGGTTACACAGAGCCACCATATATTTAAATTAAACAAAAGTAAATTAACCATGTTTATACAGAAATATCTTTAAGCAGCATTTTTCCATTCACACAGAAAAAGTCTATCAGAGAATAAACATCCACTTGGCCAATTTAAAGAGTATTGAGAGTATTGTTTTGTTTTGAGAGAGGACAAGTTTAACACACAGCTGTTCAGAAAGACTCTAAAGTAAGATATCTTAATTTTGACACAGATAGTAAGAGACAACAGGAGCCATGGTTGCCCTCAGACTGAGTCCAGTCTTTTCCAGGATGTAGCTTCTCGGGCTTTAATTTAAGAGAATGACTCATTAACAGAGGCTGTCTCTTTTAAAAGACAGTTGATTCTCAGAATGCAATAGCAAACCAGAAGAGTCCTTTACCTTCTTCTTCTTTGTAACTGGGCAACCACGAGGCCTATCATAAGCGATTCTGACAGGTTCGTGAACTGCAAAGTCAAATCAAAGAAAATTTGGCTGTGAAAACAACCAATTTTAATACAGAATTCCAAAAATACATACTCAAGTGGGACTCTCACTTTATGCCTTTCTCTAAATCCAGTGCCACCAAGAAAGAGCAGAATGAAAAGAATAAAATGCTTTTATCTTAATGACAGAACTAATGAATTAGTTCTATCCTTCCCTTTTAAAACAAAACATGCTACCTAGTTTTAGGCAAATGATCCACACTGGTGGATAACATTCTGTAAGAGCTTCACATCTTTCATTTTCATGAGCTTCTGTTATGCTCCCAGAGAAATTCAGACTGGACTTAAATGAGGTTATTGTAAAATACGGTCATAACATGAACAACAAAATTTATCAATACATATTATGCAGATAAAAGATATTTATTAAAGTAGCTGCAGAGTATATGCAGTARCAAGTTTTAAGAGTTGGTCTCTCAAGTCTTAACATCATGACACAAAATAAGAAAAATACATTTTGACAAYATCGCAGTGTTTAACAGGTGTAAGTAGCTCTGGAGTACAGATTTTTGATCTAAAAATATTCAGAATATGTTCACTGCTAGGCTTAAGTTTCAATCTGCCATATATTGATGAAATAAAAGCTCACAAAACTACTACTAGGTTTTTCTGAAGCAGCAAAGGATAACGTTTACGTAGAGGGTTTTTAGGAGCCATGTTTGACAGGTTCTCAAATGGGAAGCCAAGCTTTGCTATTGCACTAGAATACGAAAACTGTTACCCATTAATCAGATTTTCCCGTGTCATTTGAATGAGACTTTTAAATGAACAGCATTCTCATTTTTGCATTAAAGAGATTAATTCCTTCAGCCAATATCAATCAGTAACACACTACAAAAATACAAACATCCTTCAAAATAACATTCACCTTTTGGTTCTTCTATGAGACATATCCTTTTAGAGGCAGGAATCATACCAACTTTCAGTGACTTGCTGCTGATTCGTTTGCGAGGAAAGAGGGTACCGGGAACAGGAGTAGATGCCTGTGTTGACAGATTTGGTACAGTACCATCAGATGATGTGGCTAGCTGCCTTTCACCTGCTGAAATTTCCTCTCCCGTTTTGGAAATCATCTCTTCAGCTAGGTTCTCCTCACTTCTACCTGCTGAGAAGTCCTCCTCTTCTCCCTCCTCTGCTTGTTCCATTCCCATTTCTTCCAAAGGTCGGGAACTATCCTCTTCAAACTCAGCTTCCTCCTCGTTTTCTTCCTCCTCCTCCTCCTCTTCCTCTTCTTCCTCCTCCTCTTCTGAAACATCCAGATTTCTCTCTTCAGGTTTAGTACCTTCCCCAGCATCAGTTGTTTCTGACAYAGTACTGAAGTTAATAGATGGACATAACTCATAGACTTTCATTCGGTAAAATTTGAAAGCAGAACTATTTCGGTCCTGTAGAAACCTGGGCAAAAATTACAGTGAAAATCATGTCAAAAAAGATTTTTCTTAGCCATCAGGAAGCATGATACTACAAATAAATCCCTTATTCATTTTTGAATGGCATTGTGAGTGGTGTTTAGAAGCACTGCAGTATTCCTTTACAACACATATYGAACAAAGCAATCTTTCCATTGAAAATCTTAGAGCCATAGTCATCAGCAGTTCTCAAATAGCTTTTGAAAAACATCTCAATGTGATTATCTTCATGATACAGACAAAATAAACATTTTTATTGGCAGGCTTTGATGAATGTGTAGGTTACTCACCAAAGATCAGGGTTATCCGCACTGTTGTCTATGCTGAACTGCTCGATTTCTGGTCCTACCTGAGCAACAAACTTGGCCAACTTCTCAGCAGTTTCCATYGTTTTAGCATCCACTGCAAGAAACAGAACACCCATGCAAAGCCTACAGCACTGGAACATCAATACAGTTCAGAACTACCTACTTTAGCAACATATATAAAGATTAGAATTTCCAGTAGAACATTCTATAGAATCTTAATTATTTTCTCATATATTTTTTAAGTCAAATCTTGCATCTTCACTTACCATCAGGAAACTGAGAGGACAATGGTGGGAAAAGGTCAGGTGGCGCCAATATATCTTCAGATTCTGTCCCTTCTTCTGCTGGCAGAGAAGCTTCTGGACATCGTGAGGACCCAGTTGTATCCAAGGAGGAATTCTTTTCAGCCACGCTGGTTTCGGACACAGAAGGCTTTGACTGGACTGAGCCTTGGATGTGCTTGTCTTGGTGTTTCAGCATTGTGCCAGCTGACAGCACAGTCTGTGTTGCTGTTGTCGCCCTCCTCCCCTTCCTTCCTCGAATAATTCCACGTTGTGCAGTAATTCCMAGTCTTTTTCTTTTAAATAATCTTCTCTTAATACTTGCTACTTTCCTGGCATACAGCATGGCCCTTACTGATTCTGTTGCAGATTCTTCTGGTGTTTTGCCCTCACCACCTGCTTCCTTTCCAGACGACGTCCGTCTTTGCATCTCCGCTAACCTCAGTCTGTAATATTTGTATTCTAGACTATCTTCTTCAGACAAGAACCTAAAGAAAAATGAGAGAAAYAGAATGAAAGCCTAAGCCAAAAGCACAACTAATCTCAAATTCTCAGATCAGAAACTTAGTATATCCCTCTTAAACACGGTCAGTTGTTACTCAGGTTATTGCACTAACMGTCACCTGCACAGGGTTTCCCTCAGAATAAAAGGCAAGTCCATTTCTAAAGCAGCAAATAAAGAAAAYTTTGTCAAGCAAGCAAATGATAGAGGGTATGACATAAGTTATTTGGCTAGCAATTAAATAGCTACGCTGCACATATGTACATACTGCCACATTAACAGATCTTTACATTTGGAGTGTCTCAGCTTTCCTTTTCCAGTATTATTTGGAGAACTCTAGTTCCATAAGTCTGTTACATAATTTTTTTAAGGCATATGTTAACTACATTTGCTTAATGCTTTCTCCTTGTAAACAGAGATCGGTTTAAATTCTTGCATTCGCATCAACTTAGAGTCACTGCTGACAGATCACAATGTGGACTACTAGACAAAACAAAAGCACCAGGACAAATTCCGGGGATATCAAGCCGAAGAATTAATTAGCTGTGCAAACATTTTCAAGCAGTCAGGTGAAATATATCATAGGCTTTGATCTTACACCGAGTGAGTGGAATATTAATATTCTACGTATCTTCAGTGGAAGAGAGCAAAGTGATGTTATGACATACTGTTCTAATTGCACAAACACGCCTACCAATATTCAGGACAGTTCTTTTGAGCGTTTCTTTCTTTGGCAGACAAGGTTCCTGCAACAATGCTATTCACTAGCTTTTCAATTGTCTCTACAACTTTCCGATCCGCTCGCTGGGGGACTGCAAGAAGAAAAAAAACAGAATCATTTCATTATTCTCGTCAACAGAGTACGGATATATCCTCTTTCTATTCTTTTGACATACTGACATTTGTATTTTTTCAACAAATCAACACACACACACACACACGAGATACACTTAATAGAATATGTTAAGGAAATGTCAGAAACTTGGATCTCTTTCCTCAACTCACTTTACATCTACAACAGTTCCTTTTGAGGAGCATTGYGGTTTAAGAAACTTATCTTTTGCCATACTGGGAAGATAAGCCATCTTTGAAATGGCAATTACTTTTAACACCAAAATGATTTTGTGCAAACATATTTGAACGCTACTTTGAAAGGGTAAGTTGCAAGTTTAGTCATACAGGGTCAGTRCTGTAAAAACCCCACTGCTGAAGTCCAAAAAGGAAGGAATGGATGAGCACAGTAAAGAATAAGCATACTTCAGAGAGCAAGAACTATGTGGCCTAATTCAGGAAAGAAGCACTATTCTTAAAGATCATAGTATATAAACAACTTTGAAGAAATATGACTGCACCTGATAGAAGTGGAAACTGCAACATCTCATAGCTTTGCTTACTTGCAAATACTTAATTCTGCCACGTAGCCCACTGCCCAATTAGTTGGTGGGTTTCGCTGTGCAAATATGACCCTGGGCTCCCTAGCTCRAGGCTGGGATGGAAGTAGCTGAAATAATCCTAAAAAATCCTCAATCTGAAGTGCAAGCACATGTAGGAAAGGAGGAGGAGACATGCTTCCATCTGCAGAGCCTGGCACAGAGCTGGAAGCTGCTGCTCTAACAGTGCTACAKGCTGCGCCACTGCCAGGGATTTACATGGAACTCCCAGCATCAGGGATTCCCGACCTAATGGAATCACAACCATTTGAGCTAAAAGYCTGATGCAAAGAAGCTACACACTGGAAAAGCATCTCACAGAATTTCACTTACTCTTACTTTTGGGGTCAGGAGAGGGTTTTTTAAGCTGTGCTTGTACTGTGGACTCCGGTTCAGCTTTTTTCATATGAATTGGATATCCACTTTTCTCCAACCAGGCCTTCAAATTTTCTATGTACTCTCTTCCAAACAAGGTTGAATCATCAAAATTGGGGAATAACGTTGGTGCAGGAGCCATTTCCTGGAGCCCTACAGCTTCAAGTATTTTCTCTTGTCTGAAAACAGATGCTAATGCAAAGGTCTGACCCAGAAGCGCTAAAGACTTACGACAAAGAGAAACAGTGGTCTCAAAAGCATTTGCCATTTCTCTGGGATTACCAAACCCACTTGTTTTAATGCTTAATTCATAGGCATTGCAAGCCATGAGCAGAGGCGTRACACCTTTTAGCAGACGGTCTTGGAGCCTCATTATGTATTTATCAAAAGGTTTTATTATTTCAAAGAAGCAGTTCTTTGTTTTCACAGCACCCTTGTCCAAAAGCATATTTAAAAACTCATTATCCACTTTGGGAGTTTTCAGAGCAGCGTGTTGTAAACTCTTGATAGCAAAGAAACAATAATCTCTGTGCTCTGGCTTTAGCGAGCATTTGAAGGAAGCAAGCATTTTTGCGCAGGTTTCTGTCTCTAGCTCAAAGAGCGCTCCAAAGAGCCGGGAAAATTCTGCATCRTTTTTTATTGCATGAAATCCAGCCCATTTTATGATTTCTATTCCAAATGTTGAAAAAATGTCAGACTTGTCCACAAGGTCAAAACTGAGATTTCTGAAAACGTGAGCAGGCTTTGGAAGCCTGATGATAGGTCTCTGGGTGGTTAGAGTTGGTCTCTGATTAGGACGCGGAAGCAACTTTTGATTAGGGTGCGGGATGGTCACCGGCCTCTGGTCTGGACATTCGGCAGTCTCAGGCATTTGATCAGATTGCATAGTCGGCTTCTGTTCAGGCTCTGGTTGCAGCTTTTTAGTGTTCCATTTCTTTAGCGGAGGTTTGATATCTCCTTTAAATACTTTAGCTTTGGCAGCACCCCTTGCAATACGTTTTCCTCGCAGAACTCTTCCCCTGCCAATGTTGCCCCTCCGCAGCGGGGGCCTGAACTCACTATCACTTTGAATTCCAAAGTCCATATCATACTCCTGACTTTCCATATTACTGTAATCATCTTCCATGAGTCCAGGAGATCTAAAATCACCTAAAATATGCGAAGGACTAAAGTCAGTTTCGTGTGGTCCGCTGGACTCCCAGGGTTCAGGGTGGCCGTAGTCCTGGTCATGAGAAGCCAGGTCCCCGTACTCCCGGTCATGGGAAACCGGGTGCCCATATTCCTGGTTATGGGAAACCGGGCGCCTGTACTCCCGGTCATGGGAAACTGGGCGCCCATATTCACGGTCATGGGAAACCGGCCGCCCGTACTCCCGGTCGCGAGTTGCTGGATGGCCAAATTCCCTGTCATGGGATACCGGGCGCCCGTATTCCCGGTCACGCGCCGCTGGGCGGCCATACTGTTCGTGGTAATAGTTATCTTTCCTTAAAAGAGGGCTGCCAGATCTGTAAGAAGGTCCTGGATATTCATCTCGAGGGTCTTCACTCCAGTCATCATGGGGATGGTGCTGGGTGTCATCATGAGCATATCTTCCCTCATCATGAAAACTGTCTTCATATCTCGGTCTTGGGACTGGCCTTGAAGGAGCTGAAATGAGAAAGACCTGAGTTCATATCTTGTACAGCAAGAAGTACTAAAATAAATACAAATCTCAGCAGATTTGGATACCTGACTGGTCAACATGCCAAGTCTTTGAGGCATTGTACCTAACTTTACAACATTCCTATTTACTTTCTTATACATCTTGAATTAATAACAAATAAAATAAGTGATTAAAAATACACACATACATGAGAAAACAATTAAAACATTTTCAGAGTTAAAACAGAAATGCAAGTTCTGCTGTGAGAACTGCACAGGCGAAGAGCCTATTTTCTACACGCTGATATGCAATTGCCCAAGATTTAAAGAACAGGGCAGTTTTTGAAGGAAGCTGCTTCTGCAATATCCAACATTGATGGATGACAGAAAGCCTTGAAATTCCTGCAAAAGTCAGATATCTTGCCCATTCACTAATTCTACGGGATAAAAAAATACGGGACGCAAGAGCAGCCTGACTTTTCACATTAAATCATTGCTTTGGAATTTAGAAAGCACCAAGGAAACAGAAAAAAATCTTATTTTAAAGCACCTAGTTTGCTGCGAACGCCACCCRCATCGCTCCAGACACTGAATATCCGGAAGATAAAAGAACGTGCCGCTCACGCACGGATCACATCCACCACATTAATCTCTTGCTTTGAGCTTTTCCCTTCTCTAAAAATAACSGGCGCCGGGGAGCCCCGAACGCACGAACCGACGGGACACCGGGGCAGTCCCGCCCCGCGGCCTCCCGACACCGCCGTGAAACCGGAGCCGCTCCGCGGCGGCCCGCGCAGGACCCCATTGTCCGCCATCCCGTTTTCCCTGGGGAYTCGCCCTCCGCGGCGACGCTGCCGGCGGAGCGGGAGGCCTCTTCCCTCGGGAAGGACAGGCAGGCGCGGGGCGGCCCGGGACAGCGGCGGCCGCCGGTACCTTTGAAGGGATGGAGAGGCTCCTCCATGGCGCCGCCGCGCTCCATCCGGTACCGCTTCACTTTGTCCTGCACCACGGCGTCGAACGTCTCCCGCGTGATGCGCCGAGAGGCCATTTTTCACCCCCCCGCCCTCCCTCCCCCTCAGCACAAAGCCGCCCCCGAGCCGCGCTCCCGCCGCGGCCCCTCCGCGCCGCCACCGCCTGAGGTAAAAAATAAAACAGAAGAAAGAAAAAGGGAAAACCGCGGCGTGAGGGGGCAGCCGCGGCCGCCTCCCGCCTTCCCGCCCCTGGCCGGGCTGCGGAGGGAGGGCCGGGGAGGCGGCGGGGGCGGCGTCGCCCGCTCCCCGCCCGCACCGAGGCGGCGCCCCCGCRGCCTCCCCGCCACACGGGGACCTCCCAGCAGGCCCCGCGGCGGGAGCTTCACTCCCCCACCCACACCCAAGCCTCACTGCGCCTGCGCGCTGCCCGCCCTACYGGGGCGCATGCGCAACTCTGTCCCGCCTACAGGGGAGGGGGAATGGCCGCAGCCTCCCCCGCCCTCACTACGCATGCGCGAACGTGCCCCACCGTCTAGTCACCAGCTAGTGGGGCTGTGGCGCATGCGCACTGGCAGCTCCGCGCTCCTCCTCCCCCCCGCCCGCAGTGTTTCCCACGGCGGTGGCGCGTGGCGCATGCGCGCTGGGACGACCGAGCCCGCCAAGGGGAGCCGGCGCGCCCGCTGTCTGCGTACGGTGGCTCCGCGGGGTCAGTCTCTTCAGGCCGCCGCTCTTTGTCCGCCGGGAGGAGCCCGTTGGGGCGCGGAGCTGCGGGCTCAGGTGGGTGGTGGCGGGCGCCGAGGTGCCCCACGGAGCTCTCCCGGTGTCCCTTGTTGCCTGGCTGAAAAGCTCTGGGGGAGCTGGGGACACTGAGGGGGAGCGCGGGGCCAAACCGGACCGTGAGGGAGCGGAGGCCCCGGCAGGGCCCGGCCATCCTCCGGGTTCTGATTAAAATAAAATAAAGTCATCATTTGGCGTTGTATTTTGGGTTCAGAGTTCAGCGGTTTCACTCTGACGGTGAGCGAGTTGGTCTCTTTGTCTTGAGAAGTTTTTGTACCACAGCTGATCCCGGCCTTTCCTCATTGACAGGGTGGGGAACCGGTTCATCCCAGTCCGGAGCTGCGCTAAAATGGGATCCAAGCAGATCGCCCAAGAAACGTTTGATGATGCAGTGCAAGAAAATATTACGGAGTTTGAAATGGACCCAGATGAGGCTGTGAGAGAAGCTGTGCAGCAGTTCGAGGCCCAAGGTATCCTAGATCTGTCTATTTTTGTTGTTTCAGTTTTTTACTGGTGGAAATTTTGGCTATCACAAGATGTAAAAGAGTATTCGTGCAAGGTTTGAGCAGCAGGTACTGAAATGAAGCCTTTGTGGCATAGAACATGGGTGTTGTTAGTATTAACCTGTCTTTATGGAATAGTTACGATGGAAACACTCCTTTAACTGACATGATAAACTTCAATTTAGAGAATAGAATTGAACTTCTGTTTTTCTCCAACTGATATTTATCTGGAATTGCTACTAGACACAACTTTGGCAGCTTTTCATGATGCACTGATCTGAGCTTTTGTATGTTTACTGAGATTAAACTTAACAAATTTGACTTGAGTTCCTATATCTTTATTAGTCTTGTTTTCTTTTTTACTTCCTAGGTGTTGATCTAAGTAACATCGTAAAAGCTGTGAGGCAACCTACCTCTGAAAATGGCCAGGAGCAAAAGCATGAAATTTTGCTGGTAAGATTAAACATTTTTGTGGCCTTTCAGGAATCAGTACTGTCTTGCAGTTTAAGTAATAGACTAAGAGTCTTCAGACACAGCTTCTATACTTCCATTTCTGACCAGTTTCTATCTGAGCTCTTGAATAATGCATTCCTAATGCTGCATTTGTTAATTGAAATATATGTATGAATACAAAATACCGAGGTTTCCTGATAAGGAAGTGCAGAGACTGTCTTTTGTACTTACAAGCAAATTCTGTTGTGACCAGGTAAAGTTAAACGACGATTTAAAATGAGAAAATTACCTGTTACGTTCAGGTAGGAAAGTAATTCTTTTTCTCTTCTTCAGACTTTAGATGCCCTCAGGAGATCTGTTGCTGACTCGGATCTCACTGAGATGGCCGAGCAGCTGGGGCTCTTCACGGAGCAGTGTAAGGAGCAGCTGGCTTTCCGCTACCTGGCTGCGCAGCATGGTGCCTATTCCGTGGTATTCCCTGCCTTCCAGCTGGCTTCTGGAGACAGAARTTTAACGCTGAGAGTTTTTCATGCTCTGTCTGCCGTCCTGGATGGACAGCCAGACCTGCTTGACGCGGCTGGCCAGGACCTCCTGCTGCAGACTCTGAAGGAACAAGCGGAGGATGCTGAGATGGTGCTCGCCGCGCTGCGATGTGTTCGCCACGCCTGCCTGAAGCACGAGCAGAACCGGCAGGACCTCGTGAAAGGCGGCATCCTGCCGCTTCTCACCGGAGCTATCRTGCAGCACGGAGGCAGCGCCGAGGTCGTGCGCGTGGCCTCCTCGGCGCTCCGCATCATGACGTTCGATGATGACATCCGYGTGCCCTTTGGTCACGCTCACGATCACGCCAAGATGATCGTGCTGGAAAACGAYGGGTTGAGGGTCCTCATTGAAGCCGCAAAGGGTAAGGTTAACCCTTTGACTGTTGGGTCTAATTTCACRTCGTCTTTGATGTCTTAACTCAAAACTGCTTCATAATAGCTGAAGCTCCTCACAGGTAGTTTTGAAATATGCTGCTAAAATGATATTTAATTCGTTTGATGAAATATACTCAGAGAAACGTATCTTTACTCCAGAGGCTATCACTACTCTTAGTTGAGACATGAAGTGTACAAGGTGTCATCTGTGGTGATGTGTTTTAACATGCAAAATGAAATTCACTCCTCTTTAGTTGTGATTTTATTTATTTTATTTTTTAATTGAACACAGCAAAACACCTTGATTCTGTAACACCCCTCCGTGCTTGTACTTACTCTATTCATCATCTCTCCTCTGCAGCTTTCACAGATAACTCCAGCGTTCTCAGTGAGCTGTGTGCCACTCTTTCTCGCCTTTCTGTCAGAAATGAATTCTGTCAAGAGATTGTGGACCTTGGGGGYTTAAATTTCATGGTGTCTCTCCTTGCTGACTGCATTGACCACACAGTGAGTGAAATAAAGTGCGCTTGGGTGTGGAGGGGTAGCACCAAAGAGCGTGCTTCTAGCRTGCTTTTCCTGGCTGCGAATGAGCTTTCAACTTTATGAATAACTTCAGGTGCAATTGGAGTTGAAACCCGACGATAAGAATGCAATAATTCTAACCCCATACTCGTCGTCACTTCTTCTGCCCCTTCTAGACCCTGAGCAGTATTCTCATTGCTCCCCAAAAGGCTGAGTTCAGATTTCACAGAATCACAGAATGGTTGAGGTTGGAGGGGAGATCTTCTAGCGATCATCTACTCCAACCCCCCTTCTCTAGCAGGGACACCCAGAGCATGTGGCCCAGGGTCGCATCCAGACAGGTTTTGGAGATCTCCAGAGGAGACTCCACAGCCTCTCTGGGCAGTCTGTTTCAGGGCTCTGTCACCCTCACTGTCAAGAAGTTCTTCCTCATATGAAGATGGAACTTATCAACCCCCTTCCCATATTCAGCTTTCCCACGGCCCTGGCTAGAAGGGATCCAAGAGGACTTAGATACTTGAGTCCTTTGAGTACTTGAGTGGGTTGAGTGGGTATTGAATTCTTTAAATKTTGAAAACCCCTTTCAGTCCAAAGAAGATTCCTCGTTATTCCTCCTAGCAAGAAACTGCTTGTGAGGTGCAAGGGACTGAGAATAACATTGCTGTTCATAGCTGGGGATTAGAACTATTTGAGTGGATTCACTGGGGTCTGTTCTAGTCATCTTTCAAAGTCTGCGAAGCGTTTTCTCCTGCGATCTAAGCTGTCTTTTCTTGGTGACCGCAGGACGTGGTGAAGCAGGTGCTGAGCGCCATCCGAGCCGTTGCAGGTAATGACGACGTGAAAGATGCCATAGTTAATGCTGGGGGAACGGACCTCATTGTGCTGGCCATAAGCCATCACCTTGCCAACCCTCAGGTATGCAGCAAAGCAGTTGATGATATCCCACCAAGGCTGAGAGTAGAGAGCAGTTTGGGGGCTCATACCTTAGCAGCGTTGTGTTTTGTGGGGCAGCAGACCTGCAGATACATTCTAAGCGTAGTCATCTAAGCGTAGTTGCTAATAATTGTGTTTCATCTTCTTTTCTTAGCCTGAACAATATGTTAAACCTTTAATATCTGCTTATTATAGAGTGTTAAGTGCATGCTTGGGCAAAAAGCTGTGTAAAGATATACCTACCTTAATGTATTACGCTGTTTCTTGTCCCTGAATCAAATGAATATGGGATAGTCACTTAYACCTGTGTGGTTGGGGGTGAAATTTCAGCTACTACTGAAATKATTTTTGATCTGATGTAATTGACAGTATAGAACCTGTTTTACATGCCAGAGAAGCAGCAAATTTTATTTGGGAGGGGAGAAAAAAACCCTTAAGAAGTACTAGAAAAGCAAAACCCTGAGCAATTTTTTCCCTTAATGCACCATTTTCAGCTGGTGAGACCCTCCTCTTTGTTTGCAGATCTGTGAGCAAGGCTGTGCRGCCTTGTGCATGTTGGCTTTGCGCAAACCTGAGAACTGTAATGTCATCATGGAAGGCGGAGGGGCTTTGGCAGCCCTGCAAGCCATGAAGACGCACCCGAAAGAAGTGGCCGTGCAGGTATTTGCCTCTTTATTTATTCAGGATTAGAGCTGGTAGCGCTCGTTGCCTCGTAGGGATTTTGTCCTTTACTGACAAATGCCAGAAGGTTATGAGTATGTTGGGAAGATAGCCGAGCAGCTTTCTAAGAGCTCACTAGACCTGTAAGAATTAGAAGGTATTTTATGGATGTGTAAGACTCTCTACGTCTTCCATTTCCCTATAGAAGGTGCTAATGTCTCTCTCATTTACCTCTGTCCTCAGAAACAGGCTTGCATGCTGATCCGCAACCTAGTCTCTCGAAGTCGGGACTTCTCTCAGCCTATCTTAGAGATGGGAGCTGAGAACCTAATAACAGAAGCTCGTGCGACGCACAAGGACTGTGACGATGTGGCCAAAGCTGCCCTGAGAGATCTTGGCTGTAAAGTGGAGCTCCGAGAGCTGTGGACAGGTCAGAAGGGAAGCCTAGCTCAGTAAATCATCAGGCCATTGAGCACTGGAGCTACAAGGCATCTGGGTACACGAAGCCTGAAGCGGGGGGACCCAAGTGTCATGGATTAACTTGCAGTTACAGCTGAGCTGGAATATCTGATGCAAATGCCTGGCTTGTGAGGCTGCAATGAACTTTTTTTTCTTTTATGGGAGCTACAGCTGAAATGGCTTTATGCACTCACAGGCTGGAAGTCACCTCTGCATAGTCATCGTTGCCTGAATCCCCTAACGCCTGAAGCTAATCTATTCTCCCCTGTGGTTTTCTGTGGTATTTGTTTACAGAACAGGGCTATTCCCATGTGCTCTGTTCTATACAGTAAGAGCAAAAGTGGATCTTATTTATAGGAAATTGGTACACACTATAGCAGCCGGTTCTGGCTCATTCTGCTCCTTGCCAGTGGAGGCTCATAGCCTGCTCTTGAAACGGAGTGGATAAGGAGGGGACCCATGCGTAGTGATGTGGTCTGTCCAATTTAACTATTCTAATCTATTTTATTGCTGGTTCAATACCATATTATGTTGCCTCTTTCTTTTGGATTTCCAGTAAACATAGCATTTTAAACGGATGTGAAGTAAGGAATTTAAACAATAAGACCTCAACCATTACCTTTCAGGAGGAAAGGTTATGGTCTCCTGCAGCAAGACGAGCAAATTGGGGACCGAGGGTGAAGATGGTGGTTTTAAAGGCAGGGACAACGTGGCAGTGAGTACCATGGAAGGGGGAGCTGGCTCCATTGGGGGGTTCCTTGGGTAGCACTGCCCTGAAGCTGATAAAATCCTCCTCCTGCACTGTTACGTTTTCTTTGAATCAGTATTTTCCAGTGCGATAGTTTCTGTGGAAATGCTGAGCCTATAAAACACACCTAAGATGCGTTTAAGCACGGAGCCTTTTAGAGACAAGAAGAGAAAGGGGGTAAAAAAAGCCTTGGGGCCGAGTGTGTAATGGAAGGCTGCTGCAGCCCCATGTTATCTCTCTGATAAGGGAGGTAAGGTGCTCTCAAAGGCCGCCCTCGCTGCTCCCACCCCGCTGTTGATAGGAGCAGAAGCAGCCGGGAAGCCGCTCTGTGCCCTTGCGGTGGCAGGGCGCTGGGGAGGCGGCTGCTGACCCGCCCTGCCCTGGGAAGGGGACTGGCTCGGTGCTGCGAGCGGAGGAGGAGGCCCCGCGGGGCAGAGSCCCGGCGCTGCGCGGGGGGAGCTCCCGGTGCCCCCGCGTAGGGACCGCGGGGCTGCAGGCAGGGCTCGACCACGCGTCCCCCCGCGGGAGGGGGCCTGGCCCGGGCCGGAGCCGCGCGCGGGGACGGCGGGACCCGGCGGGGGCGGCACCGGGGCGGAGCGGGGGGGGCGGTGCGCGCTTCCTGCGCGGGCTCTGCGCCATGCGGGACGGCGCAGCGCCCCTCCCCTGCTCCTCCCGCCCCCTCCGCGCACCCATTGGCCACTGCCCACGCCCGTCTGCGGCCACGCAGCCAATCCGCGCGCGCGGCGCCGCCTCCGCCCCTGAGCGGCGCGGCGCCCATTGGCCTGGCGGCGGCGCGGGGCCCGCCCCCC